AACCTAACCTTACAAATGCATTTTCTTGGTGTTATATTTGATTTTGGCCTCACCTTTGAGCCTCATATCCAGTTTGTTGTCAAATTCTGCCAATTCAACCTCAAAAACATTGTCTGCATTCATCCCTTCTTACGCAAGATGCTACTAAGGAGTTTGTCCATGCTCTAGTAATCTCTCGCATTCACTATTGTAACTCTCTCCTTATTGGTCTCCCCGGAAGCCGCACTGCCCAGTTACAGTCTGTAATGAATGCTGCCGCCATACTGATTTTCCTTTTCAGTTGCTCCTCTCACACCTCTCGCATCTGTCAGTCCTTACATTGGCTTCCTGTATTCTATAGAAGTCAATTCAAAGTTATAATCCACAACTATAAAGCACCGAATAATTAATTATAGCGGCCTATTAGCCCCTCTCCTGCACTTGGCCCCTCCCTGCATTGCAGAACTGGATCTAACTTAAAACCCTGCAAACCAATTCATTATCGCAACACAGAGTTAGGCTATGTGCAGTTTAGTGCCACTTTCCCCCTCCCCTCCTATTCATGAAAAACTTATAATAACCGGTTGACTTTACCTGTAGACTGGGAGCAGGGCCAGATTAACATAGGGGCTGATGGAGCCCATGGAATAGGCCCATTTAAAAAAAAACAAAAAAAACTTATTCTTAGGTTTGCCATCTGACTGGTATTTTAAGGCACAGCCAGTATTTGAGGCTGCCTGGCCATGATGGTATTGCAGCAATATCAGAAATACAAATGCAAATATTTTTCTCAGTATAAACGGAGATTACTCTGCAATACCAGCACCAGCCAGTAGGGGTCACTGTGTGTGGAGAGAGGCAGGGATAGGATGTTACAACATCTCCCTGCCTCTCTCTACTCACAGATCCGCAGGGGAGCAGCTACACAGCACAGGGAGTACAGACAGCAGCTCCCAGCCTGTAGAGACAGACTACAGCTCAGATATGTGAAGGATGGGGGGAGAGGCAGCAGAGAGATATGGGGACACTGAGACACTTGGGGACACTGGGAAACATGGGAACACTGATACACTAGGGGACACTGTGAGACATGGGGACGCTCTGAGACATAGGTAGACACATTGGGACATGGAGACACTATGTGTCTCCATGTCTCTCAGTGTCCCCATGTCTCCCAGCCAGTGTCCCCTAGTCTCACACTGTCCCCATGTATCCCAGTGTCCCCTTGTCTCCCAGTGTCCCCAAATGTCTGTGTCCCCATGTCTCCCAGTGTCTGCATGTCTCCCAGCCAGTGTCTCAGTGCCCCCATGTCTCCCAGTGTCCCTATGTCTCCCAGCCAGTGTCCCTAGTGTATCAGTGTCCCCATGTCTCCCAGTGTCTGTGTCCCTAGTGTCCCCATGTCTCCCATTGTCCCCACACCTCCCAGCCAGTGTCCCTAGTGTCTTAGTTTCCCCAAATGTCTATGTCCCCATGTCTCTTTGTCCCTAGTGTCTGTGACCCCATTTCTCCCAGTGTCCCCAAATGTCTGTGTTCCCATGTCTCCCAGTGTCTCCATGTCTCCCAGTGTCCCCATGTCTGTATCCACAAGTGCCCCCATGTCTCCCAGTGTCCCCAATTGTCTCAGTGTCCCAAAGTGTCTCAGTCCCCCCGTGTCTCCCAGTGTCCCCAAATGTCAGTGTCCCTATGTCTCTCAGTGTCCTCTAGTACCCTAGTGACATGGGACACACTGAGACATGGAGACACTGGGAGAAATGAGGACACAGACACTGGGAGACTAGGTGTAACAGATCGACGGGCACCCCGACTGGGTTCCTCCATTGAAGGATGCTCCCAGCGTTTCCTGAGAGTTTCCAGCACTCCAGCAGACACCATAACCACCATAGACTCCTTCAGAGAGCAAAACAGGAACAAGCTCTTACAAGAGCTTAGGAGTGATTATAGCAAGGGAATATGCAGAGCATAGCAATCCCTTGTAGCAGATTCCCCCAACAAGAGACGGCATTCCAAATTGAGGGTGAAGTAGAACTGAAGCTTTTAATCCAACACTCTACTTTTATGCCCATTTTACAAACATAGTACTGCCCACAGGATTTTGCAGAACAACCAATCAATACATACAATACACACAATACACACAGACACTCCCACACAAAATCCTCCCCTCTGCCTGTGATACAATTACCTTACACAATGGGTTAATATAATTATCACAGGCAGAGAAATACAGTTTTTACACATGTACTGTAACTTTAAAAATATGCATTCAATCTTCATAAAAATGACATATATTATTATTCAGCACACTTCAAATATAAACATAGTCAAAATTCAGCCAATTCCATCCAGGGGTTAAAAAGTTAGCTGGAAGTCCTTTTATGACCGACTGCAAGCACATTTTCATGCCCAAAACATGAAGTCGGCAATTTACCTACAACAGTCTCCCAGCCTGGGAGGTAAATTACCTGCACACTTCCACTTCTGGGTGGTCCGCCTGTGTGGTACTTGGTTCAGTAAGACCCATTTACTGAACCAAGTGGGAAAAGGGCACAAACAAAGTATATTAGGGGGACAGGGGACACAGTCTTAAAGGGGCTGTGACGGTACAATCCTTTACTCCGTTAAGCATTCCCTTCTTCCCATAAAATAAAATCGCCAAGTAATCCACAGAGTAATAAATCGCTGGTATCGCCGAATAATCCACACATGATCCAAGGCTTAATGCTGGAACAAGTCTGATTTACTGAGAAACAGGGCACACAATTTATACTGTACATAACTCCTCCTCTGGGCCAGGCTAGATAATTGGGTTTGAGCACTTATCAAACTCAATTATCTAGTGGCCAGAAAAGTTACAATTCTTCACAATTATTAGAAATATACATTATACATAACATATCAACATATGGGTAGCTGAGGGTGATGTGAGCAACATATCCAAATTTCGTGAGAATCTGTTAGGTAGTTTTGGAGTTATACCGTGTGGAAGTTTGACCGGCTCGCCACGAGGTTGTAGCTGACTCAGAGTTCCATGAAATCAGTGGTGCAAGCTGGTCTCCGTTCGGATGAAAATTGCATGAAAACCCCCATAGATGTAATGTAGCTGGTTACATGAGCGTGCTCCCCTCGTTCGGTAGATTGAAACTTCCGAACGCCATTCGTGTGCAATTCATGTAAATGGGTCAGACGGGACTTCCATGGGGGACCGGGTATTGCTGGAGAGGCATGCCGAAATTAGTTCCAGGCGCTCGATGCCTAAGTCCCGCTGGCCAGCCGTTCGGGAGTTTAAGATGGCCGCCATCCATTGTTCTCGCCACGTGTTCGTGTCCCTAAATGGTGGCCACCCAGGAGCACTCAATTAGCTTGTGGTTTCGTGCAATAACACAGGATTTTACGTTCTAATTGCTACCCAGGGTGGTCCTCATTCGGTAAAATAGCTATTTTACTGAACAAGGGATTTGACGAATAGAAAGTAACGAATGAACTAGTAATAAAGGTAAAAAATCCAACAAAGAAAGTAGCAGGGAGGGAAAGTACCAAATGCATGGAGGGTGATTCTTCATAGGGGCATTGTTCCCAAAAGTCACAGTATGTCCCCAGATGGTTCTTAAAGGGCAAGCAGCAGCATAATAAAATACAATATGCCCAAATAATGTATTTAAAGGACCAAATCTCCCAGGGGCCATAGTCAGCAGGCAGGAAGCAGGCAAACAGGCTTCTCCAATGCCCAATGGTGAGGTTGGTTTCGCCACACTAGGGGACTGGGCGACATGGGGACACTGACACTGTGATACATTGGGACACTGATGCCAGGCTGGCCTTCCAATTCTTTGGACAGACATGCCCCCTTTTTAGGCATGTAAGCCCCTTTTGGCAGTTCTGGTCACGTGATTAGCATCAGTGGCCCACCCTTTTACCCCTCCCATTGACTTCCTGCTTCACTGGACGCTGCTGTTACGGGGTATGGATTTACTTGAAAGATGGAAGCATAAATTAGAGAAAGAGATTAGCATAGAGTATGTGTTTTCTTATAGCTGCATCCTTTGAGTTTCCCTCCAACACCATCTCTATCAGATACATGACGCTTGAGAGGTATGACTGTTTTAGTGTTTTTGGTCGATAAGATTCTGTAATTAGGCCCATCATAATTGTCAGCACCAGGCCCACTGGGCTCTTAACCTGGCCCTGACTGGGAGGGAGGTTAAACCCCGTAGGGGTGTGAAATGTCGTGACACTCATATAAACGCTAACTGCCACACTCATACCCTGGGGGAGAAGCTAGTTAGCCTATATCGTTGTGGAAACACCACCTTATATTACTTCCCCTACTAAATGCCTAACACAACTCTACTCATTTTCTATCTAAAATGTGCCAGTAGTCTAAGCGATTGCATTTAAAGGACATGTAGCTAGTTAATCCTGATTTCTTTTACATTAATGACTGTTAAATTTGTCATTGACATACTAATGTACAAAAAATGTAGTAAATGACATTACAATCCAGTTGAATCAGGGCACAGCCAGGGCACACATTGCACATGAATAGGAACATAGAAACTTTGCTTTATTTCTCCTTTCATCTGAATGATTTCCAGGTATAAGGGAGAGAGACATTGATTGTCAAATGGAGGCATCCAGTTGCAGGATAAAGAGGTTTTAATTTAAATTTTCACACTTCATAAATACATATCTATTAAAGATAAGGGATAAGTAGACACAATATCAAAAATCCTAGAGAGTGATAGCTTCCCTTTAAAAGGGATGAAGTAAATCCCAATTTCATACTTGATTATAATTATATATTCAAGAAAATATCCGCACTTCCATTTTCAATAAAAATCTAATTTTATTTCATAATTAATAGTAAGACAAAATACAAGTAAATTTATATATACCCAGCAAATCAATATTTGATCCTCAATCAATGCTACAAGCAGTTTTTATGTATATAAAAAATGTATATAGTACAAAATGACCAATTAATTAGTTAACCAAAATTCATACAAGTAAAGATCAAAATAAATAAATAGCTGTACAAAATATTTACCTATCAAGTGGACAGAGCTGGACACCCAATGTTTCGGCTGCAAGGTGTCCAGCTCTGTCCACTTGATAGGTAAATATTTTGTACAGCTATTTATTTATTTTGATCTTTACTTGTATGAATTTTGGTTAACTAATTACTAATATATTAATATACATTTGTTATACACATAAAAAACTGTGCTTGTAGTATTGATTGAGGATTAATTATTCATTTGATGGGTGTATGTAGAGTTATAGAATATATGACTATTGATATACCTATAGAGGGGTAGGTCTTGTATATCCTTTGTACCCAAAACCTTGTATACATGCTGTACATTAATTGATTACCCCTACATACTTTATTTTTATTGATTATAATTAAATATTTTCTAACTGATAAGAATTAATCCTTTGTGAACTTGTTAATTTTGATATTTTATTTATTTTTAATTAATCTGATCACTTTATCTTTCTAATTAACAAAAATAATTGTCAAATACATAATATTGTTGCACTGCATTAGAGAGATGTGTATCATCAACCTTTCTTTTTCTCTTTTAAGCTTAGTACATGATTATTTCATAGCGTAGCAGCAAAACAGTCCGTATATATTTTAGTAATAGTTTTTTACCAACATTACAGAATGATATTGGAAAAAAATATTGTTCACCACATGCCCAAATGCAAGTAAAAAAAATTAAATCAGAGTTAAATCAGAGAAAGATTAGCAAGTGGTAAAATTTCAGCATACATATGCTTATAGCTGCACTGTCATGGCCTAATCCAGTTTTTTTTAACCCCCCCTCCCGACTCCATTACATCTAATTGCCACCCTAGTCACCCCCAAATGCCCCTAACCCCCTATATTACCTATTTTTTAATCTTCATTTCATGCCCGGACCTAGCTCCTGGGCGCTGCCATCTTTGTGTGGACAGATGAAGTCCCTGTGGGACACGTCATCTGCCTACACTAGATAGTGCTGTGAAATTCCCGCATGCCCAGTTAAACACTTGGGCATTCGCTTTTGTATGAAAATCGGACAGAAATTTTGTATATTCATTCATTCATCAGAAAGACGAAGGAATGAATACTGTAGAAATTTCAGACGGACAAACACCATCAGTGTTCATTTGTTCGTTCAGTTTATTACAAGGAGGGAGCTAACAGCGTGCAGCTCCCTCCTTGTAATATGTAAAAATAGAAGCGGTAGCGGCTGTGCTCCCCGACACTTTCTAAGCCTCCCATGTCCTCCCTTACTCTATGGGGGTCAATATGACCCCCATATTAGCATAAGGGAGATTGAAATCTCCTTTATGACCCTACTCGCTATGCTGCGAGTAGGGGCATGTCTACTAAACCGTGAGCAGCCTATGCTCACTTTAAACCCCCCCCATATCCCCTCCAACAAGACTGGTGGGTGGGTGCCCCAAATTAAAAATAGGGGGGACATATTGTCCTCCCCCCGACCCCCACCCACTGCTCATGGGTTCTAAAAGACAATAGGGGGGGACTCAGAGTGATCTGAGTCATTTTACACAGCATAGGAAAATGCCAAACTAACCAATAAGAGTGCTCTGATAGGTAAATTTTGAGCCCTGTCTGATTGGTGTATCAGTCAGGGGCATGTCACAGACTGGCGTCACATTGCAAGGTATTGGGGACATTTCTACCAACTCTCAGCTTGTCCCCAGTGATTCTCACACCAGCTGTGATAACCCCGCCTCCTTTTATGATGTGGATAATAAGCGCCAACGTCATGACGCTGAGAACGCCACGGCCCGCCAATGTGTTCGAACGAGAACATTTTGGGGGCATGGTTACCTTCCTAATTGAACACGGTATTTAAAGAGAAACCAGGGAGAGTCTCATTGCCCTGTTGTGGTTCTTGATAGACCCAAGAGCACGTATCTCGTGTTGGTATTCTTGTATTCTGACTTTTGGCTTAGTTTGACTATTTCTCCTTCTGTGTTCTTTTGACCTTGGCTATTGCATTATCGTTGATCCTGATTTCTAGTACCCCGACCTCAGCTCGCTATTGACTATTCTTTGTGTGTGTAGTGTTAGTCCAGCCATTCTAAGGTCTGGTATACATTACTAGCATTTTGCATTCTACGTGTAGGATCCCTGAACATTCCTGACAATTGGTAACTTACAAGGCTCAAATTCAGAGCACTCTATCAAAGCACTCTTATTGGTTGGCTTAAACCAACCAATCAGAGCGCACTGAGTCACACAAGCCTTTCCCTGCCCTGCGGAGTTCAGTCTGCACAGTTCCCTCGCTGGGTGAAGATTGATTTTTTGGGGGGCGTCGTTTTTTTTTTTTTCATAGCTGGTATGCCTTCAGGTAACATACAACCCCTCTATGGATCTTCTGTATGTGCTGATATCTCTTCCGAATATTGTATATAACAGAGAAAAATGGAGAGAAAATACTCTAAGTGTAGCAAATTAAAAACTTAATAGTGAGCTATAACACATGCATAGATTTGCTCACCTGACAGAGCCTTCCAGACTGGCTCTAAGTACAAACGTTTATGTGTCTGTTCCGGGAGACTTTCCCTTAGGTACCCGGTAATGTAGAAGCTGGACCCGCTTCTTTAAATGCACTTGATGCTATTTATTAATAAAATACAAATAAAAATACACTAGTAAATGTAAAAACCAAAAGTTAAAATATAGTAGTTGCTCCTGGAACCTCCGAGATGTGTTTCTCCTATGTAGACAGGTTTTCTCAATAGGTTGTGTTCCTTGTTCCGGGTTCCGTGATTTTGAAGGGTGTTCAGGTCCTCCTCTTTTGCCGATCCTCCAATCGGTGCAGTCTGTTCTATCATATCCTCCTACTTGATCATCTGTCTCTGATACAGAGGAATCTCCAAACTAGCTGATACGTCACTTCCGGGTTTCAGAACTACAGCGCCCATGATCCTCTGCGCTTGTACGTTCCGGCATCTTTGGCATTGTGTAGAAGTTCGTGATGATAGAAAATACATGTATATTAATTTATACATATTCTACAAAGTAGATGACAACATGTCATATTGGGGAAAAATTAGACTTAAAACCTTTTAGTAATATTGTGCAATAAAATAACTTATTCCCATTGTAATGCAATCATCTACTATATTTTGTATAAAAAAATTATATAAAAATCTGATCAATTAAATTTATAAAATAGACCTGATGTTCAATTGAAGTGCAATTTTGTACCTATTTGATGCATGAATTAGACTTCCATATATTGATATTATAATTAGCAAATTTAAATTATAATTCATATTGAATGTAAAATAAAAATAAAATTAAGTGCTATATTTGTCTAAAATGTTAATGTTAAGCAATGGTTTTCTAATTAAAGGGGAAAGGCAGGAAAATCACAAATAATGACATAATTAGAAATCTAAATTTAAACCATGCAGAGTTAGAGTATGCAAGTCAAAGAAGGTGAGTAATCAAGGATGATCAGAACAAAGCTGAAATTCTAAATAATAATTTTTCTTCAATATATAGGGAAGAGAAATCTATGATTGTTGATTTGAAAATCCCTGTAACAAAATCCTTACGGCAAACAGGTGGTTTGTTAACACAGGAAATGTGCTTCAGAAATTAAATAAAGTTAATGTAAACAAAGCCCCAGAGCCGGATGGTATTTACCCACAAATACTTAGGGAGCATACTGTATAAATATCCATACCACTCGTTTTATTTTTTCAGGATTGTTTTCTTTCAGAAATTGTACCACAGGTTTAGAAAAAAACAGATTTAATGCCTTTATTTAAAAGGGTTCAGAAGCTTAACCTGGAAACTACACACCTGGAGATTACAGAATAATTAATTTGAACACTAATATCATTAGCAGGAATCAACATGGTTTTATGAAAGACAAGTCATGCCAAACTAACTTAATTGCGTTCTATGAAGAAGTTAGTAGAAATATAGACCAGGATGAACCTTTAGATGTGATCTACTTGATTTTGCTGAGGCATTTGATACAGTTCCACACAAAAGGTCACTAGTA